CCGCCCGGTGAGGGACTCACGGGATGGGAGGCCCCGGACGGGGTTGAGGGCCGCGGAACCCCAAGCCTAACCGGCCGCTTTTGGCGAGGTGACCCCCACGATTTGGGCAGAGAGCTGGAGCCCAGCCTCAATTCCCACCAACCGCGGGCGTATGGGGGAGGAGGAGCTGCTGACCGTGGCCGCTGGGTGTGCCTTGGGAGGACAGCCCAGGGGAAGGGGAACTGCTCCGGCCCCAGGGTGGGGCTGGCGCCCTGGCCAGGCACAAGGGCTGTGCAAGGCAGGTCCTCACAACGTGGGGACAAAGACCCGAGGGGGATGTTGGCACTGCAGGGTCATCACTTGGCAGTCGTGCCCAGAATGAATCCAGTAATCCTACAAGTGGCTCTTAAGGCTTGAAACATTTCCTGCAGTGTTGGAAAGCTGGATTTGGCCATACTCCCATGGTGGCCTTTGGTAGGAAGTCCCCACATACTGACTGGGAGGGATGGAGACACCCTCAGGAAACCGGTTAGTTTTTTTTCCTTTCTTGGGCATTTTTCCAAAATGCTTTTACTGTCCTCTTCCCTTATAGAGGACGAAGGTGGGGAACTAAATGTCTTGATGCTAGAAAAACGCTTTCTCTGACCAGCGTAGAATACATTGGTACCTGGTTGGGTCCAAGCGATCTAATGCCTAGAAGACTGTCCACTGAAATTAAGCAGGGTTCTGGTTTTCAAAGTATTTTATGGAAGAAAGGTTTTTTAGATTTTTTTATTCCTTGAAAATAAACCAGAGATAAGCCAGTGGAAACAATCCCTTCCTTGAAGGTGAATGGAACTTCATTTTCCTTAGGCTTAAATATTGTCATTCTTGTACTTCTGGGTCTCTCCTTGCTCAGTAAGTTGGGGCTGTGGCTGGAGTGTTTGTATATGGGGAACAGATCCTGCAGGGAAGACTTTTCAAGAATTTAAATTACTCCACCGGGTCGTCTTGTCAAGGATCGTTGAAACGTGACTGTCCTACCGATGTTATTAGAATTGTTTGGGGAATGTTGAGGAAATATATGCACTTATTCTGAGGTTACCATTGTCTGTATATCTTAACATCACCAAGAAGCCTAGTGCCTCCTCACCGTTCCCAAGTGGAAGGTGTTTCTTCCTGACCAGCTGAGATAAGATCTAGGCCAATCTCATTTAGGAATTATGAGTCCCCTGGGCCAGTCTTTGTAGCCCTTCCCTTGTAGGATAGTCCTAATTTAGATTTACTCACTCTGTCTAGAAACAGAAAGATGGGATAGCTGGGTGTGGTGCGGCACGCTGTAATCCCAGCCCTCCTGGAGGATGAGGCAGGAGGATGGCTGTGAGACCAGCCTGGGCTACATAGTGAGTTCCAGGTCAGTCTCAACTAGAGTGAGTCCCTGTCTCAAACCCCCCCCCCCAAAAAAAAAGATTTTTTTTTTTTTTTAATGAGTGTGGGGTCTTTTAAATTCACAAATTATCCTATGTCTTTCTCAGTCTGGTCGGTTCAAAACATGGTAGCATGAGATAGGTTTTTGATACATCATGTATTTGCCCCCAACCAAATGATCTGGATGTATTTGCCCCCAGATACATATTACTTTAGGACTACACCTTGGAAGTCATCTATCGTTTTATGTTATATATAATATCATGATGGCACACTGTCACTGATATTCTCTTAGTTTTGTGTTTTGTTGATTGTAAAATTTGGAAATAGTAGCTGACAGGTTTGGTATTTTTTCGCTTCTTGGTATTGTGATTTTATATTTCAACCCTTACCTTGGTGTTAAACTCCACCTTCTTAAAACAGATAAAAGTTGAGATCATTGGCTCAGGAGAAAAGGTGAAGATTGCCACAGTTTGTGAATGGGGTGTGGAAAGTTCGTGGCATTGTTTTCTGTTCTGTATCTCATTTTCCACCTGCCACAGACCCTTTTTTCTGTATAGGGCAATTGTGTCAGTTGCTGGCTAAATAATGATTACTTAATCTTTGTTATCCTTCTCTCCATCAAGCTCTTTTTCTTTTGAAGCCATACAAAAGACTGTTGAATTTTTGAGAGCTGTATACAATATTTATAGCTAACATTTATTGACTGCTTATTCTGCGCCAAGTACTTTGCTGAGTATCTTTGTGTCTTACCTCAGTTATTGTTGGTAATAATTTCATGAGTGAAGTACTATGATCTCCATTTACTAAAAATATTTCCTATTTATGTTTCCCTTTTATAGAGGAGGAAGCTGAGAGCCAGAAATTCAGTAATTTAGCCAAGAGTGGTGCTGGTACACACATGTAATCCTGTCTGTGACAGGAGAATATGGAGTTTGAGCCCAGTCTGTACTACATAGTTCAAGGCCAGCCTGAACTAAAAATAGCAAGACTCTGTCTCAAGAAAAAAAAAAAAAGAAAGAAACACCAGGTGTGGTGATGCATGTCTGTAAACCCAATGTACTCAGGAAGCTGAGGCAGGAGAATCACTGTGAGTTCAAGGCCAGCCTGAACTACATAGCAAAACTGTCTCAAAAAACAAAAAAATTTCTGACTTGCTTAAGGTCAAGTAGCTAGTAAGTGACTGAACCAGATTTTGAATTTAGCATTCTGATTCAAGAGTTGACCCTTTTATACTGTTTTCTCTGGAACCACTTTGGAATCCTGACTGTGTCAATAAAGGACTGTGTCCTCAACACTTTCTTCTAAATGCCTCTGCCTTGGGTCCCAGCTTCAGTATATAGACCAAAAGGAAAAGATGGCAAGAAGAAAACTGGCTTTAGCATACAGACCATACACATCTCTAAAGTCAGTGATGAAGAGGATTTAAGAAACCTTACTTGAAGTTGGGTGTGGTCCCAGCACTTGGGAGGCTGAGGCAGGAGGATTGCCATGAGTTTGAGGCCAGCCTGGGCTACATAGCTCAAGGATAGCTTGAACTACACAGCAAGACCCTCTGTCAAAATAAAAAAACACCTTACTTGGCACCTGCCCTGGCAAGCGCAAGGCCCTGAGTTTGATTCCTAGTACAAAAAAAAAATCTTATTTGGCATACTGAATATGGAAGGTGAGCTCTTTGCTTGGGGTTTCATTGAGGGTTTTTTGTTTGGTTGGTTGGGTTTTTTGGGAGGTGTTGAGACAGGGTCTCACTATGTAGCTCAGACTGCCCTGGAACTCACTGTGTAACCCAGGCTGGTCTGGAACTCACAGTGATCCTCCTGCCTCAGCCTCCTGAGTGCTGGGATTACAGGCGTGAGCCACCACACCCAGCATGTTATTTTGTATAGACAGCAGCCTACTGTGCTGTAGATTAAACATAGGGCCTTTTGCATGCTAAACTAGTGGGCTGCCATTGAGCCATCCCTATCCCCCCCCCAGGATAGTTTTGTTTGTGGTAGTTTTTTTTGTTTTGTTTTGTTTTTTGTGGTATTTGGCTTTGACAATGTGAAGCTACCTCCTGAACACCTCTCCTGCTTTTATACTTTTCTGAGACATGGTTTTGTGAAATTGCCAGGACTGGGCTCCAATTTAGGGGCCTACCACCTCAACTTCCCAGAGTGCTTATAAGCATGTGCTGCCATGCTAGGCCTTAGATAATAGTTTTTAGAAATGGAATAGGCCAGTGATTCTCAACATTTTCCAGTGAACTGCTTTAACTTGTTAGATCTTTAGTTCCTTCAATCCTCCTCTGCTGCTATAGCCTGGGTGCACCCTGACTGTGCTCCAGAGTCTCAGTGAAGAATTTAGATGAGTCTACTGGTCATATTCTTTGAGGTTAGGTATCAAAATGATCCTCAGCGTAGTTTTGGTTTTTTGTTTGTTTGTTTGTTTTTTGAGCAGGTCATGACTATGCTGTGCAGTTCAGGCTGGCTTCAAACAGTGACCCTCCTGCCTCAGCCTCTGGGTACTGGTATTACAGGAGTGGGCCACCATGCCAGGTTTAGGGCAGTTTTGTTGTTATTTGGTACTGGGAATCAAAATCAGGACCTCCTGCTTGTGAAGGGCACCACTGAGCTAAATCACCAGCCCTTAGGGCAGATTTTTTACATTTGACCTACTAGTTTCTCTTGGAACAATGAGGAACTAAACCTTGACCAGTAAAGTCTACAAAATTGAATACATTGTCTCTACTCATAGTTACAAGCCTAAGCTCTGGAGCCTGCTTTTGAATCTTATTTACCTGCCAATTATTACTGGTGTAATTTTGGGCAAATTTTTTAACTTGTGTTTCCTTCAGTTTTCTCATCTTTTTTTTTTTTTTTTTCCTCTCTCTCAGTACCAGGATTGAATTTAGGACCTGCCACTGATCTGAATCCCCAGCCCTAAGTTTTGTCATCTCTGAGAGAGGGAAAATAGTAATGCTGACCTCCTGGGTTGATTATAACAATTAAATAAACTTGAGTATAATTAAATAATTAGGAATATGGCCAACACAGAGTGGATATTCAAGATGCAAGTGTTAACCTTAGCGTAATTGAGGTGTGAGGGTAGTTGAAGCAAAGTGGGGAAACCATTCTTAGCCTTGAGATGTTCATTGGTGTGCAGAGTGCACTCGTGTGAAAGAACCTTGGGTCCA